TAGAAAATGGGGACTGAGAAACAGAAGGAGAGGAATTCCTTCTGAACACTAGGTCTGGCTTTGTCTCTCTCTTTCTGTCTCTACAATTTTCTTACCACAGCTGCACCACACTGGGGAATGGCTCCTCTCTATCAGTCCTGAAGGGCCAGTCCCTGTGTTTGGTCTCCGTGATTGTCAGCAACTCCTGCCAGACTAAGCTGGACCCTTGAGAAGCAAGCCCCCAGCCTACCCAGTCCTCAGAGCCTGGGGTCCCAGCTGCCTCCAGGGGAATCTGGTGATGGATGGAGAGTTTGAGTGCCAGACTCAACACCCTCTGGGATCCCATTTGCCTCTCACCATTAGCATCTCTGTTGCAGGGTGAGTTGTGGTAGGGAAGAGGGAGCAGAACACCTGGATTTTGAGCATTTATTTATTTTTCATTTTTTTTTTTTTTTTAATTTTTGTAACGTTTTATTTATTTTTGAGACAGAGAGAGACAGAGCATGAACGGGGGAGGGGCAGAGAGAGAGGGAGACACAGAATCGGAAACAGGCTCCAGGCTCTGAGCCATCAGCCCAGAGCCCGACGCGGGGCTCGAACTCACGGACCGCGAGATCGTGACCTGGCTGAAGTCGGACGCTTAACCAACTGCGCCACCCAGGCGCCCCTATTTTTCATTTTTTTAAGCTTTCTTTAAAATTGTTTATTTCTTAAGATTTTATTTTTAAGTAAACTCTACACCCAGTGTGGGACTCCAACTCACAACCCAGAGATCAAGAGTCGCGTGCTCCACCAACTGAGCCAGCCAGGCACCTCCTGAGTGTGGAGTTTTAAATCAGTGTGAAAATACAAAGAAAAGGTATTTTTCGGGATATACAATGCCAGTTTCTCCTAGAAATACATATACAAACAAGTAAGTAATACATCTGCCAAGGTGGGATGGATCCCAAGACTTGGTGAGGTAGCAAACGCCCTCCCTGGCTGTACGGAATGGAAGTCTTTGGAAAATGGCGGCCTCCGGTATCATAATCCTCATGGACGCGGTCATGTCCTTCCTTTGACAACCGCTGTAAGAAGATGACCCGCCGAATAGACTGTAGTACGCCATGATAACTACTGGCAGGGCGTGGCCTCACGGCTTCTACTGAGCCTGCGCACCATTCAATCGCCGGCGCGCCAAGAAACGCCCACGGGAATCGAACGCAGGCCGGAAGTGGCCCAGCGCGGCCATTTCGCTTAGGTTGTTAACTGGTTCTAACCTGTCCGTCGCCTGCGTGGGACGCTGCCGTGATTTAGGATGTCAGCAGTGGACGTCCTGTGGGGCCAATGAGGGGAACTCGGCTTGCGGTGAGTGTGACGGGCTCGGAGGACGAGTGGCGAGGGTCTGCGAGTGATGGGGTCTTTAGTGACGGGAGCCGTGCGGTAGGCGGCGGCTGCTAATCTGAGTTGGGTGATTGGCTCGGTCATTGTCAGTCTTTGCGTGTTTTCCGTGTGTGTAAGTATTTGGGGGGAACTTAAATTCCAAGTGTGTTTTAATACCAACTTTTATACTGTTGGTCCTTGACAGTCGTTCATTTGAGGACGGCGAACTGGCTTCTTGGACGGGCCTCAGGTAGCACTGGGGACGCTGGGGGAGTGACTCCCTGGAAGCAGTGATTGATGCAGGGGCAAGCGGCTTCAGGGATTGGGGGACTTGGAGGGTCCCATTGTAACATCGGGGACCAGTGTACTTGCGGACCTATAGAAATCAGTAGAGTGGGGCGCTGAGGGTAGCTTATGGGACCCTATCGACTGGAGGCCTAGGGAATCCGTTATGGGGGTTTCCAAGGTCTCTCCTTAGGTCCTTGTGGACGTGATAAGGGTCAGAAACTGGCAGTGGAACAGATGGATGAGGATCTCCTATTGGGATGCATTAATTGGAAGCCGGTGTTGGGGATTATTCCGGGTTCTGTGCAACTCAGTGCCTGGGAGAGAGACCTTTCTTGGCAGCCTGTGGAGCCTGGCTGTGACCGTGTTGTGTCGGGGGACGCATTAGGCGACCTTCTGGCCATCCTGTGGTTCACTCTTCGGGGATATCTGGAGGTCCTTGCTGTCATGACTGCATTTGGGTGCGGCGTTGGAAGGCAATTTATTATGTATTGTCAAGACATGGTAGGTGATCAGGGTCCTGATGCATGTCTGCAGGTTTTGGGGTGAAGGTAGGGGTTAAGTGCAGTAAACTTACTTTATTTTGGGAGGGAGAGGTAGAGAGCAAGCAGGGGAGGGGCGGAGAGAGAATCCCAAGCAGGCTCTGCTCGGTCAGCGTGTAGCCGGATGCTGGGCTCGAACGCAAAAACATTGAGATCATGACCTGAACCGAAACCAAGAGTCAGGCGCTTAACCGTCTGAGCCACGCAGGCGCCCCATAAGTACAGTAAATTTAAGTTTTATCTTTGTTAGAAAAGTCTGGGCTGTCTAGGGTGTTATGGATGGGCACGGAAATGTCCAGAAGCTTACACACACCAGCGTGGCTGGCTCAAAGCCTCAGCTCTCTGAAGGCAACGGGAGATAGAGATGGATGGTGTTTATGGAAGCTGACCGCGTAGGGGACCACGTGGGATAGAGGCAGCTGTGTGCAGTTTAGGAGGCACAAGAGAGGGGCACCTGGGGCGCTCAGTCGGTTAAGCATCTGACTTCGGCTCGGGTCATTATCTCACGGTTGGTGAGTTTGAGCCCCGAGTCGGCCTCTGTGCTGACAGCTCGGAGCCTGGATCCTGCTTCGGATTCTGTGTCTCCCTCTCTCTCTCTGCCCCCTTCCCCGCTCACTCTCTGCCTCCCTCTCTTTCTCAAATATAAATAAACATTGAAAAATATATGTTAAAAAAAAAA